TGATGAGGTTTCATGCTGCGGAACAGTTGCAAAAATAAATCCTATAAAGGATATTAGCACAATTAAGATATCAAAGAACGGAACAACAACTGAACTTCATTTAACATATAATGATATTTATAATAAAATAGTTGATGAATATAAAATATCACTTGAAAAATTCTTTGTTAAGGCTATTTAATATTCAAGCATTAACATTATCGAATAATAATCCTTTGAATCATAATCGATAATAATTGACCTTTCACCAGTTTCTATCGTTTGTTTTATTTCTTTTTGTTCCCCACTATGGATCGGTCATTGTAATTGTTTTTGTTATAGTATCAGCTTTATCTTTAACTTCAATCTTTTTTCCATCGGGATATTTAAACCAAAATTCCAAAAATTCGATATTGTCAATCTGTTCATATTTTAATCTATCAATTACATTTTTAATACCATCTGAAAATCTTATGAAATGGTCATTATATGGGTTTGATTGAACTAAATTTGAATGAAGTGAAATATAACCTGATGATGAATATGACATGACTCATATTTTCTGAAAACACTAAAATTTATAACATGAATGAATTTCTTATTCGTTGAATTTATGAATTCTTGAGGTAATCTTATTCTAGTTTTATTTATCACTGGAAAATAAAACATGCTTTACCATATTTTTAATCGTAATAAAAAATGTCAATTATCAATATTATTTCGAATAATAACTGTGAATTAAATTTAACAGTTAGGAATTTATAATGTACTCTCGTTTCTGTGAGTGGTAAATTTAATCCCATTCTTTTAACCCTTCAGATTATATATCATTTATTAAAGATGACCTTGAGCCGCATAGCGGCGGGGTCGTAGACCTAAAAACGTATGATATGTATATAAATAATGTGATAACGAAATGGGATATTAACATGATTTTAAGTCATTTAAATGAATCATTTATCGTATGGTATGAAGAAAATTTTAAATCAAAACCTGATAAACTTTTTGAACTTGATGAAATAAATAACCTTATTAAATTTCCGCTGAAAATTAAATTTTGTACTCCTCGTCTTCGTTCATTGTTGGGGATATTAAATTTTGAAAAAGATGTTGGGGATGTTTTGTATTCTGACACTGGTTCTAATTTCATTTTAATCAAATGTGATAAAGTTAATACCCAATGAGATTTTCACATCAAACATTAGACCCTAACTCTTACCCATCAATACAAAACATTTTATCCATCAACTTAAACATATTTTCTTTATCATATCCGTTTCAATTATCCGGGAATTCATTTATTCTTCATTCAAAAGATTTATCAAATATTAAATTTAGAATAACTGACCTATTTGATTGTGATTTAGAATTTATGAATGAAATATTATGGCAATTTCAAATAGAAAAAATAGCTGATGAGATAACAGATTAAATATTTATTTTTAAATCGTAATAAATGATTAAACAACAGCAACCACAGACCATTACATACGCCATATGCATATAATTCAAAGACGGCAGAACAAACGCAAATGTTGAAATATGGAGATTTGGAGATAGTATTGAAAAATGACCATTTGAATTCGTTTGCAAAGGTGGTGCGGTGATATCAAATATAAAAGAAATTTTATTTATGAATTCAAAAATTAAAGGAATAACGGATGATATAACATCAATTCCACCAGAAGAACAAAGATATTACGCATTAAATGCATTTCCTAAAGTTTTGAAGATTGGAAGATTTAATTTAAATGAGGAATTCATAAAAGGTTTCCTAAATGACATAATGAAGAAGGCAAATTTGGTTTATGTTGATGAAAAAGATAATGAAATTATAGAAAGGGTTGATAGTGAATTAATGAAGAAAGCAAATTTGGTTTATGTTGATGAAAAAGATAATGAAATTATAGAAAGGGTTGAATGGTATCATGAACGGACATCGAAGATTTTAAAAACTAAAGCTGATACAGGATGGGTTTCAGGATGTTTAGACCTTAAAGCAGATAAGGAATATGTTAACGATGAGTTAGGGAAGAAGGCAGATAAGGAATATGTTAACGATGAGTTAGGGAAGAAGGCAGATAAGGAATATGTTAACGATGAGTTAAATAAGAAGGCAGATAAGGAATATGTTAACGATGAGTTAAATAAGAAGGCAGATAAAACATATGTTAACGATGAGTTAAATAAGAAGGCAGATAAAACATATGTTAACGATGAGTTAAATAAGAAGGCAGATAAAACATATGTTAACGATGAGTTAAATAAGAAGGCAGATAAAACATATGTTAACGATGAGTTAGGGAAGAAGGCAGATAAGGAATATGTTAACGAAATATACCAAAGTTTGATAGGAACAAAAAATATTGAAACTATTGTTGGTGACTTTTCTGTCAATGAAGAAAATAAATATTTTAGATGGGTGTTTGTACAGTCCTTAAGAAATGGTATACGGTATAAACTCATTCCGAAAAATAACAATGAAATGTATGTAGGTTATATAAGAATAATGGCACACAAGTTAAAGTTCCATTAGACAAAACTGCTACTTAAACTTATATGGAGACGAACAAAAAAATATTTAAGAGTTTATGAAATGGTAGATATGACATTGTCTAACGTAGCTCCAGCACCGTATTATTATGACTATGGTGTTGACGCACATGTAGACCCAAAAAAGCAAACATTATATTTAGAATATTATAGATATAAAAGATATAATGCAATAGAAAAAACGAGAATAGTATATTATTATACAGATAACAAAAATAAATATTATAGTCAAGATTTTACATACCCTGAAAACATAAGATTATATTATAAAAAATATTCTGACACAAACCAGAAGAAACCCGAAATAGTTACACTATATTTTAAGTTCAAAAGAGACAATCCTATAATATCTCATATGTTTGATTTAATGAACCCAGTAGGTTCTATTTATACATCTATGGATGTGAGAGGTCCTCAAGCAATGTTTGGTGTTGGTGCATGGGAACAAATAGTCGACAGGTTTTTGTATTGTGCAAACTCTTCAAAGGAAACAGGGGGAAGTAAAACGATTACGGGTGAAAATTTACCTGCACACAGTCACTACATAGATTTAAGCACATCCCAAGCGGGTTGGCATAAGCATAGATATTGGGATTGGTCAGGAATGACAAAAGGTAAAGGATATGATGTTAAAGACAACGTTAAATTTGCCATAAATTGTTACTGGAGTGACACTCAGGGAGAAGGAAACCATACACATCGCGTTTCAGGATATACACAAACAACGGGACAAAGTAAAGATTACATGCCACCATTTATGACTGTATTCGCATGGTATAGAGTTCAATGAATTCAGTCCAAAAATAATTAATTTCATTAGTTTTAAAATTATTTTTATTTATTTTTTTATTTTGTATGTAAGAACAGAAATGTCAGTCGAAGCAAAAACATTCACGAACAAATCTAATGGTGAAACATTCACAAAAGGCACTTATAATGGTATTGAAGTCTTACGTAGAGACAAGGATAGTTACATTAATGCAACAAATATGTGTCAGCAGTTTAGGAAAGACTTTAGAAAGTTGTTGGAAAATAAGTCCTGGGAAGAGTATTATAAGGCATTTTGTGAAGAATATAGCAACAGTCCGAATTCCGGCGGTTGCTTTTTATACAAAATTCATGCAGGAATTCCTGATGAAATCAAACAGGTTAGAGGAACGTATGTAGACCCAAGACTTATAAACTATATAGCAATGTGGGCTTCTCCAAAATATTGCATAGCAGTTGGAAAAATTATGGACTCCATAGACAAGAAAGTTCATGAGAAGTTAGATGAAGAAGAACTCGAAGATACAGTAGAAAATGCTAAACCTTTGTTTGAAGAAGAAGTTGGAAAAATGTGTGAAAAACAATTAGAACATGAACGTGAGAAATGTTATGGTTATAGAGATTCTCCATACGAACTAGACCAATGGGAACAAGAAGATTTAAAGAGAGAATTTAGAGAATATGAACTCGCTAAGATAGCATTTGAAGCTGCAGAAAAGAAGTTAAAAGTTTGGGGTCGTTTTGTACAAAAATATTGTGAGTAAATGAACCATTTATTTTTGGTCAAAGCTTCCACGAAAGAAAAGATTCCTCATTCGCTAAGGATTCCAAAAATGAAAAAATCATTGATTTCGGTTGAGAAAAAACAGCAAAACCCTTCTTCCACGGGAACAAAGAAATAAAGAAGAAATAAAGAAGAAATAAAGAAGAAATAAAGTAAATTTTTTATTTATTCCCGTGGAAGATAGAGCACTTTTATGACACTTTTTAATTCACGACAAACAAGACAAACAAAGAAAATAAGAAAATACGGCGCTGTCGCGGTTCGAACCACAGACCTTGACCCCTCCATAACACCACCTTAGACCACTGTGCTACGTAGCCTGTCGACATAAGATTTTATAAATTGCATATTTGACGTAAATTTATTTCCCAGTTCTTCAAAAATAATTAATTATTGAATAACCGAAGGTGCTACCATGCTACCATGTGCTACCAGGTCATTTAACTTCTCTGAAAAAGTGTGACAACATGACATTTTGACAACAGTCATGAAAGGATTAATGCAAAAATAATTAATTATTGAATAACCGAAGGTGCTACCATGCTACCATGTGCTACCAGGTCATTTAACTTCTCTGAAAAAGTGTGACAACATGACATTTTGACAACAGTCATGAAAGGATTAATGCAAAAATAAATTCCAATCATACTTTATAAAGCTAGACCTTCAGGTCTCGCCGCTTAGCGGCTCATTTACAGGTATTTCATCATCAGTAAATGATTCCTCATTATCGTTTGGTTCAACCTGTTTATATAATCCTTTCATTTCTTCTTTCAAAACATAATACCATGTTTGTTTACCGTCTATTCTTCTATGTTTCCTATCACATTTATCCTTAATACTCATTTGAAAGTTTTTGTCTTTCATGTCTGATGGTTTGCAGAATAGAGCATTTTCACACGTCATACCTGCACACAATTCATCATAATGTGTATTTATCCATACATCTAAAGGATTTGATGATAATTCAATTAAATCTTGTTTGGCTTCAGTCATCGGTATGATTCGTACATTAAATGATGAAAGGTCGTAATTGATAAAATACGTCAGTAAATTATCATAAAATTCCTTTGTGCATGAATCCATCAAATTCTTGAAGTAATCAAATTGACCCTTGAATTTACCATTAACTCTTAAAACTACGTATCTTCTGTCTCCAACTTCAATTTTGACAGGGTAGACGTTGTTAGTTACGAAAATGAAGTTTGCAACGTTCTGAGCTGTTCTTCTGGGTTGATTCTTTTCATTAATTCTTATCTCATTATCCGTAATAATTGATTTCAAAGCGTTGAAGTTTGCGAGTCTGTCTTCACCCACATTCTTGAGTTCATTAAGTACAAGAAACATTTTATTTTCAACTACTGAATTGAAATTACCCGTTAGCTCACTTATTTCGGTAATGTTTTTACATGAATAACCAGCGAGAAGTTCAGAAATAATGTCTGTAAATCTGTTTTTACCTGTTCCCTGAAGTCCTTTCAAAATAATTGCTGTTTCATTCTTGATTCCGGGATGTTGAATCATTGATGCAATCCAGCCGAGAAGGTATTTATACACTTCATCGTTATTATCACAAATGGCTTCTTTAATGAAATTCATAAACATCTCAATTTTTGAGTAATCTGGTTTTTCGAGAACGTTGTATTTATAACCTTGAAACGTTGAGAAAACATCTGGGGAATCAGATTTAAAGCAAACACCCTTAACGGTTAATGAAGACAATTGATTTAGTAGTACATCCCATGCTGTTATTGTTTTACCTTCTTCTTTAAATAATTTAATCATTTTGAGTGACTCTTTCATGTTTGACTGAAGAACAAATGATATTTGATTCATTTTGTCGTGGATATTATAGTCCTTTTGAATGAAATATTTATTTCCACAATCTACAAAACGGATTACACGTGATAAATCCTCAATTACTTCAGAACTGTTTTTATACTGATGATTTTCAGCCTTGCGTCTAATATCTGTTATCAAAAACGAGTCATCAAGTTTGATATCAAATGTTATTTTTGGCTTACGTAATAAAGGTAAAACATATTCATCATAATATTCCTTTTGATATAGTTTTAGAATCTTCACTAAAACAAATGGAGAAGTCATTAAATGTGCATATCTACTACGTGCTTTTTCAAAATTACTTTTTGCATTTTCTGTTAAACTGCAGAAGTTATAAACGTTATCGTATGCTTCATTAATTAAATGATTAGGTAACGAATTAATAGCTTGAAACAGTGTGAATAATGTTATTTCTTTTTCTAAATTCATGTTTCCACCGTCATTATGTACTTCAAAATCACAGATGCCATCAACTATGCTCTGAGCTAGTTTATCGTCAATGTTTACATCTTTGTTTTCATTCATGATAGTCTTTATTTCTTCATTCTTCTGTTCAACTCTTACCTTAATATTCAAATCATTTAATATATCATTCACTGTTCTAGTTAATGTTGAATCATAACTTCCACGAATGAATGAGTATGTATTGATTGGTTCTGTTGCATTCTTGCGAACTCTTGAATCAGCCATAACCACTAAAGAACGCTTTGAATCATCCATTGAAGTCATTATATCAATATCATAATCATTGCAGGAATAACATTTAATCATTCTGTTCGAAACTGCATAGAAGAAATTAGTGTTGCAATAAATGTGAAGACCTCCTGAAGCGGTTTTAACGATAACATCTTTATCCGAAAGTTTTGATAAAATGTCTTTTCTAACTGTTTCTTTAAGTTCATCATTGTACGATTTATTGATATCAACATCTATAATCGTTAAATTTGAAATTTTATTTACTAATAAAGCCATGCCAGTTTTCCTTCCTCTTCCTCCATCATGTTTGAGGTAGTTATGTAAATCAATCCTGTTTTCACCAATTCTTTCGTTGAGGGTTTTAGTTTCTGCCACAACTAATTCCTCAGCTAATGAATCAATAACTTTTTCATCAGAAACGATATAGTTGTTGCTGTTGTTTGTTGCTGTCATTTATATAGGAATAAAAAATAAAAACAATTTTAAAACTAACTTTATTTTTGGACTGCATCATATTTCCTGTGTTGTTGTCAAAATGTCATGTTGTCACACTTTTTCAGAGAAGTTAAATGACCTGGTAGCACATGGTAGCATGGTAGCACCTTCGGTTATTCAATAATTAATTCATAACTACCTTCCTCCTGTGTTGTTGTCAAAATGTCATGTTGTCACACTTTTTCAGAGAAGTTAAATGACCTGGTAGCACATGGTAGCATGGTAGCACCTTCGGTTATTCAATAATTAATTCATAACTACCTTCCTCCTGTGTTGTTGTCAAAATGTCATGTTGTCACACTTTTTCAGAGAAGTTAAATGACCTGGTAGCACATGGTAGCATGGTAGCACCTTCGGTTATTCAATAATTAATTCATAACTACCTTCCTCCTGTGTTGTTGTCAAAATGTCATGTTGTCACAAACTTTAGAACGGCATAATTTAAATTTTTATTTTTATCATAAATGAATACCCCACAAGCTCAAAATTTACCACGAATCATAACAAGGGAGGAAATGATAAAAATGATGCAAGAACATGTTAAAAATAACAAACCACTAAAATTGAGAAAATGTGGTTATGCAGTAATGATGGAAAGAGAGATGTTGTCGAAGAGGAATAAAAATTAAATTTGGATTGAGTTTAAAAATTCATCTTTATTAAATTCATCTCTTCCAATCAATTTATTTATTCTATTAAATTCTTTTATTTTTGCTTCACTCAGTTTAAGGATTGAACGGTAAGTTTCTAATTTTTCGATTATTTCTTTCCTCTCTTTATCGTTTTCAACCCCACCGCATTGTGGCTTCTTTTTGTAATAGCATATTTTTGATTTAATTCTGTTTAGTTTCTTTTTATATTCATCGTCTGGACTCTTGACTGCTTCGTTGTCACTCATTTCTTACGAAATAAAAAAATTAAATATTATTTAAATATAATGGAGTAATAAAATAAATCGGAATTTCTATTAATTTATTGTTAACCTCAACTAATGCATTGCCGTTAATATATCTAACAAATTCAGCTATTGTGTCAAATCTTCGTCTTCTTTTTGTCATTAATTTATCAGTTTTTCCATAATCGAGATGAATTAAAACTTTATTTCCTTGTTTAAAATTCATGAGCCCTGAATTAATTTGTTCACGTTTAACATCATTCAACCTTTCCATTTGCTTTCTAATATATTCCCATTCTTTTGAAATATCATTTTTCATTTCCACTGGTTTCATGTTTATTGTTCTATGCCATGTATTATTGTAATAATATACTAACTGTTGTATGATGGAGTCATGATTTCCATCCCAGTATATCTGACCGTTAACCCCTAACACATCTCTAAGAGTTCTCATTACCGCATCAACTATTTTATTATGAAATGTATATGGAGAGGATGAGAAGTAAAAATTAATTTGTGGGAAATAATGAGTCATAACTGCCTGAAATCCTTTATCACCATCACCCCTTATATTATCTACTCTTTCATGATCTAGTAAGTATTGAATAGCTCTTCTTGTTTCCTGTTCTGTTTTCCCTTTCACTGGAATGCAATATAAATATCTAGTGTTAATGTTAATGGCAAATAAATAAGTAACGTTTCCTCTTGAATATTCTAAATGATCGATTTCGTATGAATATGGATATGGTGCAAATGAAGGGCGACTAAATTTTTCCTTTAACGGTTGAATTTTTGGGTCAATTGGTTTATTTAATATCTTGAAATCCTTTTTAAAATCTTTTTGCTTCTTAAATGTTTGAAATGGATATAATAAAGTGAATGATGAAGGATTAACTGAAGGAGGAGGAGGTACTGTCGTTGGAGGGTTTGGTGTTGCAGGTGGTTTAATTTTATCTGCTTTGATTTTGGATTTCATTCCCCCCTTCATTAATTCTGGATGTATTCTATTCATTTGTTTTAAATATGCTGTATATAAAGGTTTGATATACTTTCCCGCTTCGAGTTTATGTTGAAGGATGAATTCCAAAAGTTGATCTTCATTTAAAAGTCGGGCTGAATATGGTTTAACTAATGAATCATAAATTAAAGCTTGTGCTTCATTTATGGTCTGAATGACCTGGGCGTTTTGCACCTTTTGTTTTTGTTCCTTTGGTTTTTGCGGCTCAGGATTATATAATTTATATAATTCATCAATATCTTCTTCTGTTAATACTTTATTTTTGAAATCTTTCAATTGTTTAAGTTGTGATTTACTTTTTCCCTTTGAATATTCATTATTTTTAATTTTGTCTTTAATTTTAGAAATTATTTTATCATGATATTTCAAAACTTCATTTTTATAATACGAATAATAATAATCCATATCATCACCCGTTATATTGTTATCATGTTTTTGGAGATATGATTTTAATTCATAATAATTAAGAAAATTTTGATTAAGTACTAAATCATCAATTAAATTTTTTAAATCTGTGTTATCCATTTATATAAAAATAAAATAAATGTTTTAAGGGTGCCCACCTCTTTGAATCATAGTATCAAAACCATCATTAACGGTTCCTTTTGTCTCTTCTGTGGCATTTCATTAAATAAATGGCATACAACATCCATTTTCACAACATACAGCCTTAGTGTGTGCTCCTGTTAATGCAGTCTTACCGATTGTTAAGCGAGTCATTGACCCGTTTTTAAGTTGTAAATTAATATTCTGACCATCGAAAATAACTTTATCATTTATTATATCCAAATAATTTTTAGGTGTTAATTGTTTATTTTGTCGTAAACTAACTCCTTTCATTTTTTGTGCAATCTTTTTAAAATCACTTCCATCAATTGAACCGTTGAATGAAGTATAACACTTAGGACATAAAGCAACCATGTTATCACCTTGTTTCTCAATTGCTAAACCCAATAACTTCTTCTCATGTGCTTTTTCTTCAGCTTTATTCTTTAATTTAGGTTTAAATTTCTCATCAAAACAGAAGAAATCAAAAGGTGCGAATTTGTAAATGTTTTTATCATAAAATTGTTTATCAGTAACAATTGCTTGAAATGCTTGAGTGTTAGGAAGATTTGGGTCGCCAGCGATTGCCCAATAAGATGAATCAGTATCACCTTCAATGAAATGAAAACGATTAACATTCATGCATTTATACATAAAATCATAAATGAAAACCAAATACCAGTATTTTGCGTTATCTAAAGTGAAGAATGCCTCTTGTAAACATGTATCACATCTATAAAATCTATCTTTAAGCATCACTTGATACGTATCTTCACCTATTTCTCTTATGTTTTTAAACTTATTTGACATACATGCAACGCGTGCCTTCTGTGCATTCATTATTTTAGTCTTTGCGTAATTTTGTGTATTCATTGCATCGTAACCATATGATCCATTAAGTGAAATCTTGCAAAATAAACTTTTTCCTTTATTTCCTTCTAATTCAGCCTTTTGTCTTTCGTTCATAAATTCGTTCGCAAATTCATTAAAACAAGTGTTTTTCGTAAATGTTAAAATTGATTGAATGTCATCAATGATAAAATGAAATCTGTCTATTAGATACCAAAGATAATAAGAAGAAAATGGTTGATATTGGTTGTGTGTTGATGCTAACTGAGTTAATTTCTCTGTTTCTGGTCAACTGGTAGATTGTTTGATTTCATGTAATTATACATAAAACTGCCAATTGTTTTTTCATCTGTGATAATATCTAAGTTTCTTATTATTGGTAAAAAGTTTATGTAATCATTAATGTATTTTTCATCAATGTGACCCTTTACTTCAGCCACGAATAAAGTATTTTTCTTCTTAATATTCCCAGTGCTTTTGCTTTCTTTGTTGCTGTATCACAAATGATAACACCATTCAATCTTCCCGGCATATACATTTTATGGTCAGTATATTGAATGAAATCATGAGGATTAGATGAAAATGATGAAGGATATAATGAATTAAAGTCAACACCAACGAAATGAGTCATAATGTTGGAAGTGTCCTCATTTGATACAGTTTTAGTTTCTGGATTATATGAAAGTTTATTAATGTGCGTGATTCCTTTAAGATTACTCTATGTTGAACATTTGATAAACCACCAGTAATTCCATTACGGAGGATGTGATAAGCTTCAACTGAATCTAGAGTCATTGGTAAATTATTTTTTAATGTATAATTTCTTAAATTGATTCTTAAACGTTGAACATCTTCATCTTTATTTGATTTTACGACATTGCAATAACAACACATTAACTGACAATTTTCTTTGGTATGTGGTTTTTCATTATCGATTCTATCTAATGTTGGTTTATTAGCATATGTAAACGCTTTACCACACATTTTGCATTTAGATGAAAGGATTAAATCGTGATAGTATTGATAGTCATCCATTGAAACATTGTTTTTAGTATCCCTTTCTGCTTTTTCATCTTGTTTCTTATATGAATCAATTTTATATTTCCAATACTTTTTTGTTAATTCAAAACTTGATTCCACATTTTCTTCTTCTGGATATGTTTCGTTAGGATTGAAGTTCTTATATGCTAACGCGTAACGAATCATTGATGCATTCGATGATAAAGAAAGATTATGAAGCATGTCAATTTTATAAACAAATGTTTCTTCAATAATTTTATCAATTGGGTCAATCATAATTTCAACATCTTTATTGCAATAATGAATAAAATATTCTAATCTATTCTCAAAATTTTTAGCATCATTGAGATATATTTGATAATCTGAATCGGATATTGTTTCTTGAGTTAATGCTGAATAAAATGAATCTTGTGAATGGTTCCTTTATATAATTCTCTTCGTAATTTCCCATGTGATGAATTGATAAGGGAAAAAGGATTTAACACGTGATTTATTGTTTCCGAAATCTTGAGTGAATTGGTCTAATGTTCCACCCGCTATATAATTTCTGATGTCAATAAATCTTAATTCATATGGACAGTTTGTTTTCTTTACAATGATTTGCTTAAATTGAGAAGAAGAACCCAGCATTGATTTTATTTTCCATTTTGCAGTGTTTAAATCACGAAGAATTAAATTTAAATCAAACTTTCCCGAATTAAAACCTATGATATTCACTTTATTGAATTCCTCATCTAGAAGTTCTTTAAATGCTTCCTTCTGTTTTTCATTTAATGTATGGGACAAAGTCCCCGCCGTTTGGTCCGTTTGCGGCTTCATTAATTCTTCATATTGTTCAATATTTGATTTAGCAACTAATGAACAGGTTGAAAATAAAAATTCAATCCAATCAGAGATGAACGAATCACTTGATGTTAAGCAAAAATTCCTCGTAAATGTTTTATCACGGTCTACGACCTCGCCGCTTCGGTCTGAAAGACCTTCAGGACTCAAAGAGTCCGTTTGCGGCTTTATTTTGACAGTTGATGATACCATAAATGGTTTTAAGTAAGCGTTCAAAGTTGCACATTCAGAAAGTTGAAGTTCTTCTTTAGTCTCTAATGTTTCGAAGTCAAAAGTAATATAATATCTTGTTGGTTTATAATATTCCTGCAAATTGTGAGCTAATAGCCATTGATATATCTTCTGTTTCGTGATATGTGGTGCATATGGTTGTTGTGTGTTTTGCAATTGAACGTCTTGAATTAATCTTCCATTATTTTCTTTACATTTCTCACAATGTTTTAAAAATCTTCTTTGGTTTTTCCTTTCTGGGTCATCACGGATAGAATATACTTCTTCTTTGCAAAAGGGGCAAACTTTATATCCTGTGAGTGCTTCAACGTCTGTAATTCTGTCAGCGTGAAGTTTTCCACATGGACTCTGTGTTAATAAAATATTTACTGTTTCAAATTCTGGATCTATCATTATTGATTCCACTAATGGAAAGTCTACCTTATTTATGTCTACGTCTTCTGGTTGAGGGTCACAATAATAAAAATCAATATTAACGTTTAACATTCTTGCTAACCTCTCACTTTCTGATGAAATGTCAAATCCTTCATATGCATCTATGGCTTCATTTAAATAACTTCTACGAGTTTTAGGATTAACACCATCAGGAATGTTATAGAAGCGTTTAAATAACCTTCTACCTTCGGCTCTTATTTGATTATCATTCATTTTAGCTGTTCCGTTTTTGTTCATTTATGTAAGAATAAAAAATTAAAAAATAAATAAAAATAAAGTTTATTTTTTTAAAGTCCAGGGCTAAAGTCCATAAAATGAATTAAGAACACATAAATTTTTATCATCTGCGACGTGACGAATACATTTTAATTTACTCAAGAATGCGTACCCTGATACATTAAATCTAATTCCTGTCTTATTTAATTTCACAACTTTGAAAAGGAATGTATGAATAGCTATAAAATGATGAGATGATGTTTTATGGGTTGCTTCCATTTTTTCTGAAATAAATGAATAAATATAATGTTTATAAGTTTTCATATCTTTTATTTCTTAATAACGAATGGTATAGACCTTTCAACTTCGTCTTCCTTCGGTGCTGTTCTTTCATATGAAACATTATTGTATCTTCAATAATGAAACCACAATCGCATAAAATTTTATATGTACCAATTGTTTCTTTTGATATTTTATCTAACAAATCAAAAACTTTATCAACACCTGTACATTTATTTAAATAATAATTTGTGTAAATATCATGGTCTTCTTTCTTAATCGTATTTGTTGCATATGTTACATTTTTCAGTGCTTTTTTGAATTTTTCAGAATCAAGAGGAGGTGAAAGTAATATACATGGATAATCTCCATCGTCAATAAATTGTAACTTATGTTTATGAATAAATTTTGTGCCTTCTTCTGAAAGTGTTTCATCTATTTCACCATCTAATAAATTTTTAGTAGATTCCAAAAAGTAATTTTTATATCTTTCTTCATGAGATTTTTGAACTTCTGATTCTGAAGCTGGGATATTCATTAAACCCTCTACTTCATTCTCATTATATTTTTCAACTTCTCTTAATTCCTTAATTTTTTCATCTATTTCATCTCTTATTTTTTCCAGTCTTTCAATTTCATCATATTCATCATCTTTAATCCGTTCTTCATAATATTCAGGGAAAACATCAGGTTCTTTAGGTTTTTCTTCTTCAGATGTGGGATATAAGAAATTTATAACATCATCTTTATTCATTTTTCCATCATAATCTAAATCATTTAATAACTCCGCGAATTTTTGACAATTTCTTAAATAATATTTATTAACTTCATAACTCGCCTCCTCTAATATATCCTTTATTTCCTCGTTTGTGAATCCCAATTTTTTAACGTCGTTAGTTTGACACTCATTTTCATACGAATTAAAAAAATAAATTATTCAAAAAATGTAAGACATGAATTTTTAAAGTTTATTTTTCATTCATGAATGATAATTATATCTGATTTCTTTTATTCTCTCGTACATACTAGATTTGAAGAATTCGGAACTTTTACCATAATCTCCTAAATGTTTTCTTATCCCCAACGTGTGCCAGTTATTATATGAAACTGAATAAACTTTATCTTTATCTTTACACCTTTCATCACTTCCAATATATTTATATCTCAGTTTTGATTTTGCATTTTCATAATCATTAACGTTTAATAATTCACAGTCTTCCTTTTTAAATTGATGTTTAAGATATTCAGGATTTAATACTCTACGTTTATATGCTCCTAACTTAGTTCTAAAGGTTTTTCTACAAAATTTAGGAATTCCATCCTCTTTAATGTCATCAATGATTTCCATTTCATTATTTTCAATTTCTTCTTCTCGTTTATGAGGTCTTTGATTATGACTCCATTGATTCCATGAAATTAAATATTCTTTATCATTATATTTATACCTCATTAGCTTATTTTGGCTTTCATATTCATTTAATAATTCACAATCTTCATTTTTAAATTGAAGTTTAACCCATTCAGGATTTAAACAATGTTTAATTAATCGCGGAATATCTGACATCATCTATATATAGCTTCTTTTATAAAAGATAAAAAATAAATTATTTTAAAATTAATGTTAATTTTTTTAATGATTTATAAATAAATATATTTTAATGCATCGTCTATATATAGATGCAACAAAAAAAGTCACACAACCCGCACTCATATACTACTATGTATAACTAGAATTTTTTAAAAATGCTTAGGTGGTCTGATGCTAATGTATTTCTGAACGACTTATAATTTTGATTTTTTTTTTCATTCTAACAACAGGATTGATGCATCATTGAAAATTAATGTAAAGCAACATATTTGATGGCCATATCATTCCGTCGAAAGTATGCTCTTATAATAATCTGAATAGTATCATATGATTCTCATGCAAATTTACTTTTGAATTCATTAATGAATGGCTTGATTTTTGTTTAGATATTGGTGGGTTTGCTGTTATATTTATAAAGATTTGTCAGCTCTTTGATTACTTTTTATTGCATAATCAAGAGGTGTAATTCCTAAAACCAATTTTCGTGAAATAAGTCAAACAGAGGGAAGAATCAACATATAAAAATGAATTCAATATCTTATTAAGCATGAAGCTTCATCTTTACCTAAGCATTTTAATTATTTACTGAATGAAATTTTGCAAAATCAATCTGATACATCTTAATTTTGAAGAGGGATAAACTCATCATTGCCTTTCTTACGCAGTGTACAATGATAAATATAATGAGATTCGACTTTTTCATTGTCATCAATGATAATGTTCAATTGTCTATCATATTGAAACAACATTATCACGATACTTATATCTCCTGATAATTATATAGCTTATTATATGCATTTAAATGATTAAAAGGATAGCAAAGTTTATTCATAATTCAGATGACTTTTGAATATATAATTTTCCTCATGAAACATAATATATTAACACAAACCTAAATATATCATAGCGAATGGTATATAAAACTTATTTTTATAACTAACTTTGTCTGTTATAGGAATTTGTTCAAGAATAGAGACTACAAGTCTTCCATTACCTTCCCAAACGCCTGAAACATACTTAGCATCTTCAAATAAATACTGGCCTGTCTTTTGGAAAGCGTATGGTTGAGTGTCTATCGGATTATAAAAATCATCATGCGCTGTAATGTTATCAGGAGGGATTATCGCATCTTTTTCAAGAATCCATGAACTCCCTCCTCCAGAACCTGAGTTATAATCCATACTAGAAAATCCGCCAAACCAACCGCCGCCAGCGCCAACAATATCACTATATTCGTTATATAAATGGACACCATTTTCATTCCTTGACCCGTGTCTTCTAGCAGATTCACCAGAACCAAATGTGAAACCAAATGTAGAATTTGCAACGTAATTTCCATTATAAACACTACTTTTAAACCATCCTTGAGCTACTTTACCGCCACCAGCACCTCCAGAACCATCATCGTATTCTCCATAATCTCCATCTATCGTATCGCAACCACCACCTCCACCCACTAACACTCGATGCCAAAGATCATTTTTAACAAATTTTAAGGCAGTTTGGCCGCCTCCACTTCCAGATCCGTCTGGATGATTTGCAGATTTACCTCCACCGCCATATCCTCCGATTATCATATTTTCCGGATAAAAGCATTCATCAGAATCATATAAATGTGGTCTTCCTCCGAAGATTCCTTTACCACCGATTGTCGCATAAGCAAACGTTAATTTTTTTAACAAAATAGTACCACTCACATATCCACCTGCACCACCAATACTTCCTCTTTGATAGCATATTGTATTGCCGTTTACTTTTTTAACATCATCATCTGAAATACAACCACCTGTTGGTAATCGGTAGGAAGAAACTCTCTCTTTCGAAGTGCCTCCAGATGCGCCATATGCTTCAATTTTGTATTTTCCAGGATAAAATTTGATGAAATAATCTGTACAATCTGATGCACTTTCGCAGGGATAATCGAATGTATACTTATTTTTATCGATTGTAACAGGAAGAGGTGATCTAGTTTTGGATATATCATTGACACCGTATTTTATCATTCTTCAATCGCGACATTTTTTTCATTTTAAATGGAAATAATGACATATTTTGTGCCATTAAAATAGTTCAATCTATTTTCATTTCATCATACTCATGAATAACCATAAAAATCATTCATGATCGTTGGATAAAATGAAACAATAAAGAAAATTGATTGGGCCATTGAAATATTTTCAAATGATAATTCAAAAGCGGATCAAAATAAAATTGTTTTAAATTAATTAATATCAAGATGAGAGTATCAAATATTCGTAATATTTATTTTTTTTATGAGATAAAAGCTCATTCTGTTTGCATCAAATTAGAGGAAACCGCATCACGATACTGCCAACATCGTAATATGCATGCTTAAGGCTTAATACTCTTTATTTAGAGAATTTTTATAGAATTCTATAAAATTAAACATCATAACAAATATGGAATGTAGTTCATTTGAATGTATGTATTCAATCAAATTTATATTTCTTATAATAATCTTTGAATTAAACATCGAGTAAGGGATTCATAACAAATTCATTCATAAGCAACTTTTTGAAAAGTTTTTTGCATTTGATTGTGGTGAGGATTTCTAAAAGAATGCATGAAAACCGAATTTAATAGATTTCCGGATGCAAAGTCAAAGAAATTTTTAGTATTTAAACTATTAAACATGCATCACTTATGAATGGAAAAGGAACAGTAAACATTAATAATAAAAGATCTTTTTAGGCAGATTAGTTTAGAAAGTCTCATGCCAACTCTGAATAAAATGGTAGATGATTTATCGGGCTTTCAAAATAATATCATCCCAGTTGTTATTCTTATCTACTTTGTTTAGGAACAACAAAGCTTTGTTGATTATTAGAGGAAATTCAGTCAAATTACTTGTGCATATAGTTTTGATATATGGAAAAGCGGCAACCCATGATCCATCAACATTTTGACGAGTGACTAAATATTCGATAGGAATAGTTTCAGCCTTTATTGCATGCGATATTAATTCTGGATTTGAATTACTCCATGAGAAAATAAATGATAAAATGGAATAAATTAATGAAATTATGAGGGAAAATAATCCAATGCTATTATTTTCAACTTGCTCTATTTCGTCTTTATTCTCATTTTCGAATTGATGAGTTAATGGACTCTGTTTTTGAAATAATTACCACTTGGCTGCAATTTTCTTCAGCAATTGAACCTGAGATTTCTATTTTTGGAATAATAATCACCTGATTGCATTTATCTTCAGTATTTGAATATTGTAAATTTTAAACTTGAAATCATATTCTTTGCGTCTGTCTTCCAAAAATTGAATTTACTGAAAGGTTAACACGAGAAGAATATGATTTGAGGATTCATTAATTTTATTTGCAGGATTTCAAATAAAGATATATGTAAATAATAAAAATACTAACAAAATCTTTTAATCATATTTAATAACAAGATTTCCATCAGGTCCCCATTCAGCCTTAACATCATTTGATTTCAACACTTCGTATCTTTTTTCTATTACAGGTTTCTTTGCTCCAAGCAGCGATTCCTTCTTTGTTCTAGTTAAGAATATAATTACTTCACTAGATTCATTGGAAATCGCCGCACATTTTGCTGCATTTTTATCCAAAATCAAAGCAGAAATCGGAGTTTCAGTTAATTGTACAGAGAATTCGAAACTGCAGTTCCTGAAAACGTAGCAAGTACCATTCACAGCTACAATACACACGTTCTGGCACACAGAAACACATCTATTTGTCAATGTCGCCCTTGCCAATTCTTCTGCAACAACTTGAGCCAATTTCGGATATTTAGAACCAACGTAAGCGATTCTTAATGTTGCTGGAGCTCCAATCATGTCAACGCCACTGAAAGAAACACGGTTGGTAAGCTCAAACAGCCTCTTTAAAACAATATTTCCATTTGCGACTGTTACGTTTTCGTCAACAATTTTATCGAAACTTTGGAAGAATTCTTGGAAATGAATTCCAGAAACAATTGCGAAAATTGTGTTGACGTGTTGATGCCTTTGATGCGAGACCATTTCCCTCATGATCTTCAAGAGAAGGTCATTGGTGTTCGTAGTCTTCTCCCATAAGTCAAAACCATTCAGTAAAATGACAGTTGACAAATATCCTTCTTCTGAATTTGACTTCATTTTTGACACTAAAAAGTCAAAAAGATTTAGAAGGAAACTTGACGGGAGAGTGTCTGGTTGGGCCACAAATACCATGGAGAGAAGGAATTTCTCAGTTTCAGTCATCGGGTGCCTGTTTGAGATGAAAGGAGTGACAATATTCTGGGCAGTCGAAATTGGAGTCGCCATCATGGAATTGGCACATGCAAGAGAGGCTGTATCGCGGATATGTTGACTCTTGTGGTTGATTAGCTGGGAAAGAAGTGGTAAAAAGTAGGAACCGTTGTAATCAGGGGAATATCTTGGTTTTGTAAAGGAAAATGAGGTGGAAAGGATTGTCCATGCAATAAAATGCATGCCTGCAATATCTTCTGATGATTCGAATATGTGGTGGCCGGTCAATGCTTGGTTTTTATAGAATAATGTTATTGTTCCTGGAGAATCTCCATAAAAAACTAAGTTTGAGCCACATTTATCCGAAATTCCTGGTGGAGTGTTTTTTACTGGTACTCCTGGAAGTAATAACCTGAAAATTATGTATTTGGCTTGTAAAATTTTTGAATTTGAGTCATCTAACTCAGAATCAAGCCTTAAACGAGCTATAACTTGTGATGATCGGCCAACATCAATGGTCTCAAGCGAAAATGTTGTTTCTTCGAAGCATTCTTCAGATGGATAAAATTTCTGAGCTAAAGGTGGGGCAACTGACAAGCAATCAATGATATCTGATGACTTAAGGCTATATACAAAATATTCACCGCTGGAATATTTAACAATCAGGAAAGATTGCTGTTCATAAAAATAAACTTCTAAAACTTTGGTGTTAAAGCCAGGATACCTGACAATAATATCTGTCCATTTGATAAGAGCTATCGATCCATCCTCTCCAACAGCTAAAACAGACTCTCTTCCGCCGATTTTAATCGGTAATCTGATAAAGCTTTCAATTGACGATGCAAGAGCATCAATAGTGCGAATAGGTGTCTCAGATATATCAAAATAAAACGATACTGTCCCGTCAGCGCCTCCTGCATAAATCATTAATTTTTGCTGACGGTATTTAACAGGAATTGAGTAAATACATGTGATCTTCGACTGTGATTTGTGAGATACTTCAACTTTTTCCAGCGAAGACCAGTTGAAAACCTCAATTTCGTGGTTATTTTTGTTTAATGTTATTATATTGTCCGAAGAACCTATAGGAATACTGTATTTTGCAACAAACTTCACAGGCGTGAATGAAAATTGCGATTCTTTGTTGAGATATCGAACAGATTTTGAAGAATGAGGGAAAACAAAGCCAAATTCAGGCTGAAAATCAAATTTCCCTGAGACAAAAGTGTTTTCGAACTTGTATTTCTCAATGTTTTCGATTTTAATTCGGTCAAGTTCTTTAGAATGAGAAATATTTACGACAAAGAAGCATCCGCCGAATGTAACGAGGCACAAATGCTTTTTTGTAACCCAATATACGTATTGGATCGAATCTGATTCGTCTAATTGTAACTCATAATCTTTTGAGTTTCCTCTTTCGTATAAAACCGAAAACATATTGCGTTTAATTCTTACTACACCGTATGGCGTTGAATAGTAATTCTCGAAAATGTTCGAAGAAATGTTTTGAATCTTTTTATTTGAAATAACTTCGTTGTTTTCGAATTTAATCTGCCTAATGTTGTTATTTGTAACTACAACAATGCACGACTCTGATACGTAAACACTATTTGCAGATGTCATGTAAGAAAAAGAGACCAACGATGGAATTGAAATTGAGCACAAAATTGATTGAGTTTTTGTATCAAAAAGATCTGCTCTCTGGCCAATTGAGCATATCCAGACATGATTTATCTCTGTGGGCTGTATTGAAAGGAATAAATTTCCTGATGGAACAATTTCTGGGTATTTACAAATGCAACTAGTATCGGTAGTTCTCCATTCGCATAATGTTCCGTCATTTGATATTGATAAGAATTGCTTTCCTTGTAAACCGTTAATTATATCTGAAACATTGCTATGATGACCAATAAGGATACTAACTGATTCAATTTTCGTGTTATTAATACCAAAACAGACTAGTGGGCCTTCCATTGTGCCTGCAACGAACACTTTTTCAAATGAAAATGGTTCTTTAGAGAAAAAATTCGAATTATGGATCCAACAACAGCAAGTATAGTGAAAATCAGATGGAAGGGGATCATCATTTACAACAAAGCCGACTTGAATAGGCCGACTATTATCCATCTAAAAAAAATTTTTTATGAAATTTTTGATTTATAAAATATTCCGCGATAATTAGAAAAATTGAGATTATTGTATTCAATATACGGAAAATTAATAAATAATTTTATTTATGAACTCTTTAGAGCAACTTGAGCCAGTACCATTAGCAGAAAACGAATCAGATGTTCCACCAATGGCTCTTCAGTTGATGGATATATCTAGTTTAAAGTCTACTCTCATTCAATTTTTTCTAATAGCTTTAGCACCATTACTCTTTGCGTATTTCTATCCAAATAAATACAGAGTATTATCATATTCGCAGTTACAACCAGAATCACTTGAAAATCCATCAAATCATTTCCTTTTTATCATACAAAATCTTGATGTTTATCATGACTCAATAAGAGCGTCATTTCAACTTTTCAATCAAAATAAGAAAATCGAAACAATGAATTTAACAGCCAAAATATCTACTTTTAACCGAAAAATGCATGAATCAAGTCCGAAAATTTACGAAACGGATATAGTGACTAATTCAACAATGCCAAAGGAAGTATTTTCAGCTCTACTCTCTGATACACGTGTTGTTAATATCGATATTTCTTTTCCTCCTAATTCATCTGCAGTTTCTCGTATAAACTGCTTCATAGAATACACGCCAAGCCCAAGAGTACACTTCGAACTAGCTACAAATCTATGTATTTCCTTGATTTTAGGTTGTTTATTTTATAATATTTACATTTCTATTGAAAAAACGAAATACATCAGACCAGCTCAGTTCGTTACAGAATTTTTACTTGCTCTGATACTTATATCAAGTATTCCTGTTGATATTTTACGTCCTTACGTTTCAAATGTTTTTATTTATGTTATGAAGTCAATATTTAATGTATTAACATCGGTATCAATCATGTCATGCTGTGTATGCTATTTCTACATGATTATTAATGTAAATAACCAAAAACAAGTCAAATATACAATAATTTCTCTTTTAATCATTGGATTTTCAGCTATTATATCAATATATAACTCTTTGTGGGAGACATTGTTTTCTCCTGGTTCAACTTCTTTTGTTTTTTACAAATCATTTTTTGAAATTTTGATGTTTCTTTGTATATGCATTTATTCTTCGTACATATCATCGCAATCATCTGAAGATCGTAATTCTGCAGTATACTACTGCTCAATTACTTGTTCTTGTGCAATTTTACTTTTATTAGTTGATACGTTAGAAAATTTAGAATGCTACAACTCCAATTTAGATTTGTCATTTGGTGTAAGGAGTGCTACCAAGCTTGCCGTATCTTTTACAATGACATCTTTGCATTTTCCACAAATTGCGGTTAAAAAAGGTGGTCGGACCAAAAGAAGAAGGAATCAATACAGAAGACAATCCGCGCAAAGCAAATACTCCGTTGACAACATTTTCCCTGAAGATGAAGAAGAAAGTGCAAATGAGAACAAAAGTGAGGAAATTAAGACAGAAGAACAAGAGGAACAGCCCAAGGAAGTTACTGATCTTATTTAATTTTAGAATTTAGAGATATTATTTTTAATAATTTGTAGATTTATTCAATTTTTACATGTTTTTGATATTTGTAATTGTATTAGAATAAAAATTTGTTACTGTATTTTATGATTAAAAAAAAAATTGTATTTTATATGAGCATCCATTGTAATTGCAACAAAATGTATGATAATATTAGCGTGGTTTAGGACTTTCAAGACAATTTAATTTTTTTCATTCGATTATTTTTTTCACAAAAGTTCCCTTTTGACAGTGGGTAATTTATGATTTTGTCTACAGAAACAATGACAGATATTAGTTTTGTAAAGTCCAGAGGATTATACTTATTTCAACCAATTCAATGTTTGAAAGCAACAATCTAGAATAATACTTCTTTATCTCTGTTATGCAAAAGGTCTTTTTGATATATTCGAACAATCAAAACTAACTATTTAGAGATAGATTGATTAAAGGATGACCTTACAATTTCTAGCGTGAAATAAGGCATCATATTTTGGGCCTACCTGATATCAACCATTTGAAGCTTAACTCTGAGACCAATGAGAAAAATTATTAAAATTTTCAGAATTTTTGACCTGAATTAACCAACATAAATTATATTATCTGTTCATATAACATGATACAGTCATATTAGATTAAATTTATATATAAATAACTTTTTATTGATTTTGATAATATCTGAAAAACCAATTAGTCAAGGTACTTGATTCAGTCTTAACGTTATAACTGATATCGAAAACATCAGGATGTTCTTGATAGTAACCATGCAAAAAGTCAATTAAATCAATCATATTGCTGGCCATGAAACAATTTCCATAATCGCAATAAAATAAAGATGGAGGATCATTTACATATTTGAGCATTATCTGGAGAACTTCTTCATGGATTTGACTTAATTCAGGATTAACTAGCAATTCCTTACAAATTCCTATGACGAACGTATTTAATTTTGTCTTCATATTGTCGAAATCAGATAACAATGTCTTTGTTTGTTCCAAATCTTGACTATATTTAGCAAACATAATTTCGCAATCGATCAATGTACATTTATTGAGTTCAAGGGTCTTCAATTTATTGAACATCTCAACAGTATTCTCTTCGGGACCTTTATGATAAATTATTGCACCAATTAATAATGCAATTCCATCATATAATTCTTTCTTGTAGCCGTATGCATGCAAAAACTTGTTAATTTGATCCAAAAACCATTCCAAGTAAATATGATATCTTTCAAAGTTTACCATTCCGCATGCAAACAAAACTCTTGATATTATATCAAAAATAACTGATTCATAAGAATATTCTTTGAGTGAAGAAGTTATAACTTGTGGTATATAGCCTGGAGAAACATTTTCTGGGAATAAATTGTTTATTGCGGCGTAAGCAATCATGTTGAATATGGCTAAATATCCTTGTGCATGTTTTATATATTCAATAACCTGTTCAGTAGTTGTAACAAATGGAATTAATACAATATTCGAAGAATTTCTTTCGATTTCTTCTTGATTGTCATAAAACTTTTTGCAAACAAGATATTGCTTCGTGTCCAAAATGCATTTCTGAGAAAATTCAGCTAAACAAGAATATATTGGATGATCGATTTGTTCGAAAGTTGAAAAGATTTCGACAAAAATGAAATACGAATCGATAAATTCTTTACAAAATTGTCGTGTTTCAAACAGCTGACTGAGCATTATAACTAAAATATCGTACAAATTAGGTTCCAAATGATTTCTTTTTATCAAAACCAAATTCATAAATAATTCCATGCACCGAGCATAAAATTGAAGATTTCGCCCACTTAAATCATCCACAGAAAATTCATCACTTTGTTCAGAATTTTGATTTTCGGTTTGTTCAGAATTTTGATTTTCGGTTTGAATTTGTCGAAGGACCGGAATATTGTTCAGAACGAAAGTCATCTTGCTGAAGATCAATTCGAACACGTTGTTTTCAAATTCAGGAGTTTGTTGCGGATCGAATTGTGTTTCAAGCAAAATTGCTACATATAGATCCAAAACGGCGTGTCCCATGTCCAAAACATTTTGTGTTGGTGATTCATTGAACAATTCTTCCAAATTAAATTGTTCGATAATTTTTATTATACTTATCTTCAAATTTATGCTTAAATATCGACCATTAATTGTGAACAACAACAAATAAATTATATTTAACTCTATTTGAGAATTCTGCATCAATTCGATGATTCTGCCAATGAAATCTTCATATTTTTCTCCATGGTAATCGATCAAAGCATTTGAAACAAATTCAAATCCGTATTGAATGAGATCAGTTTTTTCGAAACAGAATTCAAGTATTTTGTCATAAATAGGAGCCAATGTATATGGTCTCATTGTATTTGCACGTGAAAAGAAAAATTTCACTGAAAATTCATCGCCAGAATCAATGGCAAATGAAAATGAATTGGATATTAATTTACTAAAATCGTTATCAGAGAACCCAGGAATCTCATGGAAATAAGAAACAAGTAATAATAACCTTAAAATGTTGTTATTTTCAGATAAATTCCAATTTTCGTCGATTTGATTGCATAAAGTAGTTGCTGCATCTAAAGGATTGGAACAGTAGTTCAAAAGTCTGAAATCTGACACAATTGATTCGATTTGATCAAAATCCATATCATGATACAAAGATAATAAGAAATTGATGCAAAAAATAACAATTTCATCGGAAATTGTGGGTTCCTCGTTGCTATTTGATTCTTTCAGCGATCTAACTTTGTTCCAATCAAAACATGAAATAATTGTTGGGAAAAACTTGATGTAATCGAAAACAGAGATTTGATTCAAGTCGAATGGGATGTTTGGGAGATATTCTAATAATAAATATGTCTCTGATGACTTAATAAATTGATCAAAAACAAAATTCTGTAAAATTCTTGCATTGTACAATTCTAAACAAAGCTTTATAAGCGGGGATGCAAGTTCTGCTATATTTTTGTTGACATTTGTAAGATTTGCGTACGTTTTAAAATAAAAAAGAATTTTGGATAATACATAGAAATAACGATTAACTTTAGCACTATCCTGTTGAAAATTTGATATTTGAAAGAGGTTTTGATTAATTTTTTTGAAATATTCGAATAAATATGTTGGTTTTTCTTTAAAAGATGGATTTGAAATAAGAATTAGCAAATGTAATTGCTTGCAATCGTCTGGGAGTGTATTAAGGTCTATAGCTACTTTGATTGTTTCAAGCATTTCGTAAAGCGATTGGCATCGTTCGAATTGCAGGGATAAGTAGTAATCACGCATGTTAATCATCACACAAAATTTGAAATCTTTACTTAATTCTTCATTTTCAAACGAAAAACCTCGAGATGAATTGGAAAGGATTTTTGCAATAATCAATGTCTTGAGTTTTGTGACTTCTTTGGGATCTATGTCAAGTTCTATTCCAGTTTTTTCCGGAAAAAGATGGATATATGAAGCCATAACCAAGTCAGAATTTTCTGGATTTCGAAATGCATTAAGAAGGTATTCATTTAAACGATAGGTATTCGCAACATCATTTTCTCTCTGTGACGCACACAAAGCTTCGTAAAATTCTTGAATGTTGGCCATATTAAACTGTATTTTTTGAAAAATTGAATTTAAGGGGGTAGGTTTGAATAGTTGTAAATTTTTTTTTAAAAATCACTTTATATCTTCATAAGCGCTATGAGCACAGTCATAGTCAGAGTAAGTATTGACAAAGTTTCAACGATCACACTATTCTACGCATGTTTGTCAGTTACTAACAAAAAAATTACTTAAAATTGAATTAAGTCATTAAGTGCATAGCTAGGTTTTGCGAAAATGGTAGAAATGATCATTGCAACAATTTCCCCATAAAAATAAGAGAACATAATTTTAATACACAGCAATAACTTACAATTTACATAAGTTTTGAAATATGGAGTTTTTTTCACATCTGTCATTACTACTACAACCATTGATGATACGTCCTATCAATTATTTCGGTTTGAGCAATTCTTTTGGAAAATTTTCCGCGAAATTTGAGCCTAAGGTGGTTAAATTTCGCGATCAATCAAAAACTAAAATAGACATGCTATAAAATTCATATATAGGTCAGGTAAGTGGGGCTTCCAGGGGCTGCGCCCCTTCTAGCCCCTAAAAAACCTAGAGGAGGACTGACCCCAAGACTCCGATGAAAAAGAAAGATATTTAAATAAAATAAAATTTTTTAATCTTAAATATAGGGTGTCCAAAGGTGTGTTTAGCACAAACCTGAATACTGCGAATAGAAATAAACAAGTTACATATATATAAAGTTTATTTAAATATAATCACCATTGGATTCAATCACGCGTTCGCAGCGATCGATCCAGGCTTCAAAGACACGCTTTAAATCATCATGAGAAAATTGCTCAAATTGCTCTCTTACAAAATTTTCAAGATCATCTGGACTCGCGAATTCGCGTCCTTCAGCTCTCTTTTTTAGCGTGCCGAATAAATAAAAGTCAGAGGGTGCAATATCAGGTGAATAAATTGGGTTTGGAACAACTTTGACATTGTTTTCCACCAAGTAATTCATTACCTTATGACTTTTGTGAACTCTTGAATTATCAAAATGAATTGCAAACTTTTGTTTTTGTTGTTTGGATTTCTCAAACTCATCAGAATTGATAATTTGAGTAAGAACATTGTCAATTAGATACTGAGCATTCATCGTATTAGGTTTTTGAAGAATATCAATTGCGATGATGCCATTCACGCCCCAAAAAACCGACAACATCATCATTGGCGTGTCAATTTTTTTCTTCGGGAATGTTTGCGGATTTTCATCCTTCGGGATCCACATGATTTTGGCTTCTGTTGCATATTGAAACCAAGACTCGTCCCCTGTTACTAAAAAGCGAAACTTCTTGGATTGATACGCACCCAATATAGAGAGGAGCTCTTTCGAAGATTGGACTCTAGATTTTTTTTGAACTGAATTAAGGTTGTGCGGAACCCAACGTGTATACGCTAGTTTGTAGTTCAAATAATTGTGCAGATAATAACTGACTGTTGTATGTGGTATCTTTGTCATCTCCTCTATCCTTCTGAGTGATGCTCTTGGGTCTTCATCTAGCGCTTGAAGAATTGCTTTGATTTTTCTTTGATCCGGCGATTTTTTGTCAATTTTTATGATGGGCGCCTTTTTGTTCATGAAGTGATACATCCTAACATGATACGTTACAGTGGAATAGCTAGGAGCATCCATACCGAAGCATTTTACCAATGTCTCGTAGATTTTTTTACAGTCTTTGCATTTTTTTGCAAGAGCGAGGATGTTTTCTTTATGATTCATTAAAAAAATGAAAAAAATCCCGCCAAAATTTCCCGCGAAACCGCCTCTTGTCTCAAAATTCATTTTATATCCCGGCATGGCGCCAAAATACAACATACTCATCATATACATATATTCATATTTTTTATTATATATTTATAATCAGCATATATCTCCTTTAATAGTCTCATATAGAGCGCTGTGCTAAACGCACCTTTGGACACCCTATAGTTTTTTACTCAGTATAATCTGAGTCTTTAACATCTTCAAATGTTTGTTCCTCTTCATTATCCGAAGATATAATTTCCTCGACTTCTTCTTCGTCATCTGGTGCTACGTGTCTAGCTATAAATACTTTGTAGAGTCCATCTGGAGGTGTCTGTATTATGAATGTGGTATCGTGTAAGAATACAAACTCAACATCCTGTTTGAATTGGCAATTTGAATGAGTGAATTCTGCCAATTTTATAGGATGTCCTTTGGTAGCTTTCGGGAAGCTTGAAATACTAACTTTGCTACCGTAGGGAACTCTTTCTGGTGTATCTAACGCTATAGTGGATATGACATGGAAATTGTCTTGAAATTCTGGTAAAGGTTGTATACAATATATTTTGACTGTCCTGGATTGGTAAAAAAGTATACGTAAAAGGACCTTTGCCCATACTCATCCAATTCTTCGAGATAGTTGTAGGTATTGGGATATATGCTGACATACTCAGAAATTTTCACATTTTGCAAATAAGTTTGCATATTTTTGGGGAAAAGTCTAATAAATTGGTCGATGGCTTGTAGTGCAATTAGGTTTGCTGTAACAGGCAAGTATTGAACAAACAAGTCCACGAGAACACCTGGGTCTTTAACTTCATTTTCAACTGGTTGCAAACTATCCATAACAGACTGAAACACTTCCGAATAATCGGTGTCGTCTTGAATTCCCCATTGGTTTTTGAGTTTTTCAAGGAGTTGAAGTCTTTTTTTAGCATATTGCCTGCGAACACGTTCAGATATGGTAGTGTTTTCTTCTGTATTTTCTGTATCTCCTGATTGAAATTGCTTCGCGAACGCGAGGTATCTCATCTGGGACCTTGTCGTCATCGATGACGCGCTTGGTTGTTCCTCTGTTGTTTCGTTTGTTTGTATGGTATTTTCTTGAGTAGATTGTCTTGAATTGTTGGACAATTGGTTTGCAATTGGAGAAGACTGTAAAACTTGTCCTGTTGTGTCTGGTACAACTGTATCTGTTGTTTCGTTTGTTTGTATGGTATTTTCTTGAGTAGATTGTCTTGAATTGTCCAACAATTTGTTTGCAATTGTATGAGGAAGTTGCTTTGGTATTATAGGAGGTCGTAAGGGTTTTGAGAATGGTGAGACATAAGTTGTAGGAACTTTAACTGCAGAGGTAGTCGACGAATTGTTTGCGACATTTTTTCTTCCTTCCATTATGAAAAATGAACTGTTTTTTTTTCGGACCACTCATAGAAAAGTTTGAAATAAACGGTTTTTGTCAACGGTAACCCCCTCTATTTTTTATTTTATTTAATAGTTACCGTTGGCAAACCGTTCCATCTCAAATATTGAATGAACTATAAACGTTTTTTGTTTTCTATATATACTTTTTTGTCCAACGGTAAAACTTTTTACACAACGGTTTTTGAGAGTCGTCGCCGTTGACTTTTTTGTAGAGCACTCAAAATAGTATAACTTTGTCCGGACAAGTAAGGGTCTATCGTCGCTACAGGAAAAGTTACAGGCGTTCCAAGGAAGTATACTTTGAGAAGCCTTTTTCCCCTTATAGAATGAGATAAGACGGTTATTTTACAAAACTGACAACACTTTGACCGAGTAGTTTTTTGTGCTGAACAAAAAGTGTCATATAAACATCTGTCAAAAACCGTTTTTTACTTCACTTAAAATGCCACGTAAGCTACGTAAGAATATACGTAAGAGGAAGGGAGCATTGAAACACCCAATAGTAAAACTGACACCACAACAACAGTTGCAACAACAAATGATGAATGACCCCACTATGTTGCAACAAATGTCAAGCAACCCTATGCTTTTAAACCGAGTTATTGGTGCACAGAGTGGAGGTTTAAGAGCGGCACTTTTAGCGAAAATGGCAGGCTATGGTGGAGCTGCAGACGGAACAGCTTATAACCCTCAAAGTCAAATGAATTTGAGTTCACTCAAAAATCAAATAACAGATGTCAAAAAGTCAAACATAGACATACAGAAACAAATAAGTGAAAACGAAAAGAAACTAGAATATGACAGACACACAAAGAAACTCAATGAGTTAAACGTAGAGAAAAAGAAGAAAGAAGAACAACTGAAAGAACTAAGTACAGAGGAATATGCGAAAAAAGTGTCAGAAAAAGCAGCAGAAGTAGCAAAAATGGAACAAGATGTTATAAATTTGAAAAACCATACTACTCAATATAAAGTACTGAAAGATGAAGAATAAAACAAAAAGCCCTGAAGACATATATGGATAGCGATGAGTATAAAAAAGAAGTTGAAGCAAATGTAAAGGCAGAAAAACTTTTACAGTTGCAAAACCAAACCGTACAGTATGAAAACTTAGCACAAGAAAGTAAAAATAACGACGCAGCCATGCAAAAGGCAATGAAAAGCGCAGAATATATAAAAGCTAATAATGACTGGTTAGATGCCCAAGCCAACGCTAAAGCAGCCCAACTTATAGGGTCAATAAGGACAAAAATACAAGCGGATGAAGACAGTTCAAATGAAGCTTTAATGAATGCTGACTTTAAGAATGCCTTCGAAGCTCTTCATAGTAAGGTGAAACTAGTGAACGACTTCTCATCTGGAAAGAAACTGAAGTCTGAAGGTTTCGACAACGAGTTAAGAGAAGTAGCACAAAATATGACGAAAATAACAGATGCAGCAACGAGACAGGCAGTTCAAAGTGCCTATGACGCCGTTAGAGCAACTGTTGTGGAAAGTCAAGAAAAAGAGTTACAACAGACCAAAACAGACCTAGTAAATGCTTTCTTAAAAACGAAAAGTCAGGTAGGACATTATGCTGCAGATGGAACATATGTGCCAGCTGGTGGAACTTATATACCACCAAACCCTCCAAGAGAAGCACCTGCACCAGGACTACCTAAAACATTTACATCGTCACATGGACACAGACACAGGCATGCACCAAAACCAACACAACAACCAACACAACAACCAACAGTTCAAAATCCAGCACCACAACAACAACCAAAACCAACAGTTCAAAATCCAGCACCACAACCAAAACCAGCACAACAACCACCTCCACAACCAGCACAGCAACCAACAGTTCAAAACCCTGCACAACAACAACCACAAACAGAGCAAGGACATAAAAGAAGTAGAGAAAAAGGAAACCAAGAATTCTTAAAAATGCTTAAGGAAGATTATGGTTACCCAGATACTCTTGACTTTAGTGACAGATATAAAGAAGCTATTAGAAAGTTCAAGGAAGGAAATACTGACCCGAACCTATTTAGCTTTATGGTCAGCACCAAATGGATATAATCTCAAACCTGGAAAATACAACTCGCTAAGGGATATGATTTAATAGCATATCATCCAAATGACATGAATGAATTTACTCCGAGATATTTGGTGTCAGAGCTAAATGATAATTCAACTCTCTCATGAAACGCGTAAAAAATAGAGACGGAACGAAAGAAGAAAGGTTATGAATCGGATGACTTAGATAGGGAACTTTTTAAAACGGTCTCGGAATATATGAAATGCCAGCAGATGAGGTACAAGAAACTCCACAGGAAGAAGTTCAGATACAACCAGACATGGAAGAAATAGTTCAGCAACAACAGCTAGAAGAGCCTGAAGGAAACGAACAAGTCCTCCTTTGGAAACTAACTTCACAGAACTAGATGAAGATTTGGAACAGCCGAAAAATCTTGACCCTCAACAAGTGTATGCGGAGAATATGGAATCTTTCCAAGAGTCTAAGAAAAATTCGGCTGACATAGTAGAAGAATATCGAAAAATGTTTGCCGACATACAAAAGACTCCAACATCAGATGAAAATATTCAGCATAGAATGGAAGTACTGAAAGAAAATGTACGCAAATACAATAATCCTTTTTACTTACGACATATAACGTTCAATCTTTGGCTGAACTCGGTGAAAATAAAAGGTTAAATTTCAACAAAACATATAGAAATGAAACATTGTTTAAAGTTCATTCAGAACCTAACCAATTGGAAACAAACCTACTTTTGTTTCTGCAGACTATGGAACTACAATGAGATGGGGTCATAAAGCTAATCCGGATAGGTGGTTCATAAACTTACAACCTCAATTCCAAGAAGTTGTAGACGCAATGGAAGTGAATGGTGAACCAGATATAGCTGGTATTTTCAGCGCGGCTTTAATGCCATTGAAAGATATGAAAGATGCAGATATTTTGGACCAGTATGAAATGAACATGGCTGATGGAAATATAACACCTGACGTTCTAGAACATTTATCTCAAAGAACTACACAGAACCATAGAGATGGTATATTTGGTGAAGAGTTTAGAAAGAAAGTTAGGGAGAGAGAAGGAAGAGAACCTATTGTACATGACCTTGCAAACGAAAGTTTACAAAATGTCATAAAAACTTACTTTGCAGACAATGAACCGAGAAGGGATGAATATTTAAGAAAACTCAAATGGACAGTACCAAATGAAATGTTAGTATTGAAAAACATGTTCCTTGACAAAATAAAACCAACTACAGAAATAAATGACGCAAGACTGAAACATTGGGTAAAAGCTTTCCCATTCACAAAAGATATTATTGGTAACATGGAAAGAAAACCAGAATGGCTACAAAAACATATATTTGGAAACGAGCTTATTCCATATGGACAAGCTCTGTTTGAAGAGCTTGAACCGGAAACTCAGGAAAGAGTCATGCAAACAATACGCGAAGACTCAAATACAAACTATGACAAAATCTTTCTAGGATATAGGTTACCTGAGATGGGCGACCAGAGCCCAAAGGCAAAAAGGACATGGGAAATTTACAATATACTAGGTGAACATGAGGCAAAGATGCAACAACTTGAAGCAGAGGGCAAGTTACCAAAAGCGACACCAAAGAAGAAGAGAAGAGTAGAACAAAGTGAAAGTAGTGAAGAAGTAACTTCATCTAGTGAAAGTAGTGGCAATGAAGGAAAAAGAAGAGTTAAAAACTCAGTCAGGAAGAAAGTAAAGCTTGGTCGAGTGGGTTCTATTATGACACATAAATCAACTATTCTATATTTTTACCCATATGAAATGTACGCCGCTCAGAATATAACGCCAACAGTTTTGGATGCCATGAACGGAAATGTTTCCGAATGGTATAACGAATGCGACAATGCCATTAGAAGGTCAGAAATAGTTCCTGGAACTTACGAATATACAACTGCTGTTTCTTATGGAAACGTAGGTGAGTTTGGAGAAGGTTCTTCAACAACAGTAGATATTGCTTGCGACAGGTTTCATATTATTTCTATTGACAACTCATTCTTATACGTGGAACAAGACATTGAAATAAAACCTTCTGCCAAGTTGTCTGACAAGAAAGGTTGCAATGGAATTTTCTATGTCGGATACCAATATGCTCCAGAAGTTTTCATGGGATATAAGATATATTCTAACTCTGACTTAGTTCAAACAGTAACATGGGCAAACTATGAATGGTTCGCTTTGAGAAACTCAGTACAACCACAAGCTAGAGAACAAACAGACCAGTATGCAACTATTGAGAAAATAAGAAGACTTGACCCTAACGTTCCAGGAGTTTATGTTAACCTTTCTGGACAAACTGCAGCAGCAGTAACCAAAGTAAAACTGAAACTTAGAGTTCCTTTGTCATCTTTCCTCATCTTCAGGTTTTTAAGATACTTGCCAAACTGGGCAGGAAAAATTTCTATCGAACTTACTCCAAGCAAAAATAACTTAGTCATTGCACCAACACAAGACCCATTCACTCTTACAGACGTAAAGGGAACAAATAAAACGTCATTCGCCGAATTTTGCAAAGACAAAGTTGACTTAGACTTTGGTTTCTCAAACCTCAACACTGAAGTAAACTATTATTTCAATGCTGCTGGAGATGCTTGGGACCCAGTTAAGTTCACATGCGAACAGTTTGAATGCAAGAGAATAGAAAGCAGACTTGCAGTCTATATGTTGGACCCAGATATTTCAAATGCTTTAGCTGCCAAATATATTGCAGTTCCACTTATGTTCCCTATACACCAAATATCTGTCAAAGACTTTGCAGGTGAAGTTGGAAACCAAAGTGCTGACCCAGGTGCAAGAACAGATATTGCTTTAACAACTGCAATGAAACATGCAGATACTATGTTTGTACTGTTCAGACGAACTATAAATGACTATTCTTGTTTCTACAACCCTGGTATTAAATATCATATAAACATAGATGGCAAATATTATCCAAGAGAAGAATATTCTACAGTTGAGGATATGAGGTCATACAACTTGACATTAGATGCTATGAACTTTAACAACAACTTCACAACAACCATTAACCCTGAAATGCAAAGTTCTATTATGCCATATGTGAAAGTATGGACTCATACAGGAGGTCAAAAACTCAATATACAAATGGAGACCGTTCAAACTTTAGGCTTGGCATTCCATTTGCTGACTCAGAAGACTTTATGGGTGGTATTTCAACTGTTGGTACAGTTCAAATACAATATACTGGTGACAGAGACGGTCCAGATGAATTGAAGCAAAGAAGTTTACAAAACCAATAGCACTTTTCACGGAAGATGCTCTTTTGAAGATTCGTTCGATGAAACCTGCTGGGGCTCCTCAGATTGGCATAACGACAGCTTCCATCGAGCAGATTTTGGCAGCAGGTCAGTAAGTTGTTCTTGAACTGACTTCTCTCCGTCAAATATTGACAGTACGCCAGTTTTGACATAATATTGTATTATAAACTTTTCTTTAGTAATATCGGTCAGTTTTGAAGTTATATTTTTGTCTGCTTCAAGAACTTTCACCATTTCAGTTATACCAACTTTCTTTGCTTTATGAAAATATTTTGGTTCAGCAAAGACTGCTATTCTATAACATTTTCCATTGTGTAAAGAACTATTCTGTCAATGTATTTGTATTGTTTGTGAGTATAAACTTTGTTTCTGCTTCAATTCAAAAGATATCCGAATACGTCCATCTTTTTATTCTAAGTAAAATGTCATTTCCGAAAAATAGAAGCGTAAGTGTTTCAAAAGGTTTAATGGCGGTGGCAGATGTGAAGTTAAATTCACCAACTCAAACAAACAGTCAAAGTGTTGTTGTCAATGTCAAAGACAGAGATGTTGAAGTGGGGAAACCATACGAAGACGAAGATGGTATAACAATTGTTCCTGTAAAAGAACAACAACATATCCTGAAGTTAGCAGAGACTTAAGTTCTGTTGCAGATATTCGAAACGACTACCAACAACTGAAAGACAAACTTCAAACTCAGGAGAAGATTTGTCAAGCTTTAAGTATAATGTTAAACTTGGTCGAACACAACCCTGTAAAAGTGAACTCATATGTCATTGCACCTCATGAAGTTTTGAAAGAACTATTGAAACTTTTGACAGAGGCAGACGATATAAACATCAAAGAAATAGAACCCGACATTAGTGCTGTGGTGTTTCATATAATGCCATTGACAAGATATACGTTATGAAAGGAGGTGAAACGTTGAACTTAAAATATAGTTTCCCAGACGTTATAAAAATATTTGACGACCACAACATTTCATTAAAATTTATTTGCTAAGTAAATGGCAGAAGACATAATGGTTTATACTATTACGACTAAAAACCCTGAGTCATATAATTCTATAACAACAAACTTACAAAGTCCTCAAGGACGATATTGTAAACTAACCTTAAACACAATGACGACTAAAGCCTGTTTTGCTCTTTTGACACCAGAAGACTTTATTGTTGTGAATGGTAAAAAATACTCCTTTGAAGATACTTACTCAGATATACCACCAACAGGTTTTGTTGACTTATTTAATACTTTAAGTACGGTGTAACATGTGCTGCAACTAGAGCAGGTTTTCATTATGTTTGGATGTCCGACTGAGTTTACTATAAACGATATGAGCTATAATACAAAACTTATTTCTGGTTTTTACTACCAACAGTTTCCTATAACAGGAAAAGGTGTCATACAAGGAATGTCTATTCCATTGACATTAAGCACACCAATCTTATATATTGTTTCAAACTTAGGTTCAAAGTGTTATTCGAATGTCGACAGAAACTATTATGACCAAAAGATACTTATGCGTATAACAATACTTTCTCTGCTGGTTTGCCTATTGTTCATTCGAATGCAGAATTTTCAACCTTAGTGAACTCAAACACTTTGGCAAGTATAACGTTGACATTAGTTGACGCAAACTTTGTTCCTGTAAAACTTTTATGTCCTATGTATTTGTCAATGACGGCAGAAAGTTTCGAATTGGAAGATGCAACTGGTGAAAGTATTGTATTACAAGAACAACTTCAACAACAAATAGCAAGAACAACAAATGCAACAACAAAGTCAAGAATAAAAAAATAATATTTTTTTTATTTTTATAAAAATGTACAGAATAGATGTTTCAGATTTTTATGACTTCCAAGCATTCAGAAATATGTGTCCATTTCGAGACTATAACAAAGCAGTCGAGAATTTGAAACGTTTAGTCATTTATGTTGACTCTGCCCCAGAATGTTATGTCATGAAAGAATGGGATGTTGTCTTTAACAAACCAAGAGCAACAATAGTGTCTGAACAAGAATGTAGACAGAAACTTAAGAAAATAAAAGTCGTACAAGTTGGCATGAAGATGTTAGATGCTTGGGATATCTTATTGTCAAAACTTGAAGATTTTTCAGTTCGTGGTATAAAGTTTATACACCTTCTCCAAACTTCTATTCTATCTTCACTGGATATAAATACGAACAAGTAGAATGGAAAGAAAATGTTATAGAAGCTTGGTTAGACCATGTCAAAGAAATTATATGCAATGGAAACGAAAGAGTCTATGAGTATATCTTATGTTGGTTTGCAAAATCTTACAACATCCAAGTGCTAAAAATGAAACTGCTCTCATTATAATTGGAAAACAAGGAACAGGTAAGAATACTTTCTTTACAGATATTTTGTGCAAACTGTTAGAAGGTTATTCGAACCCTAATATGACAAACTTAGAAAACATCTGTGGCAAGTTTAACTCCTCAATAGAGAATATGAAACTTATAGTTTGCAATGAACTTCAAAGTATAGATACAACAAAAGTTTTGAACTCAGATGCTTTGAAGAGTCTTATAACAGACAAAGTTGGAGTTGTTGAAAAAAGTATAAAGACCAAAGAGTTTGTGAAAATGTTGCAAACTTCATTATGGTTTCAAACAATGTGTTCCGATGAAGTTAGAAAGTTCTGACAGAAGATATGTAGTTGTCAGAACGTCAGATTCTCATATGCAAGATACAGAATATTTTTGACGACTTAGCAGAAACTTTGACATCTGACTTTACAACCATTCTCATATTTCATGACATTAGATATTTCTAAGTTCAATCCAAGACAAATTCCACATACCGAAGAGAGACAAAACATTGTTAGAAGCAAACAAGAGTGTATATGAACTGTTCATAGATGAAACTGACTTTGTGTCATTAGATGAAAGTCATTGTACGATTCGTATAAACAATATTGTCAAGAATATGGTTATATGGCAGCTTCTAAACGAACATTCTTGGCAAATGTCAAAAGTCTTTTAGATGTCAGAATGGTGTATATACAAAGAAAATTTTTTCTGAGTAAATTTAAAAAAAATATTTTTTTATCCGATAGAAAAGATGAAAATTCATCTCAGTAAATAAGTACATGTCAGGACTTAAAGAAGAACTAGACCCATTCACATATTTGAATGTTTACTTCTACCATTTTGAAAAGTCTTCATTCAGCAAAGTTTGGAACATCGAACCAGTTAAGTTTGCTATTGTGACTAAAAATGGTGCGAAATTTGAAGACTTAGACATAGAAGGTTGTTAACAGTCAAAGAAAGTTTTGACAGAAGGTTCTCAACTTAAAGAAGGCAAAGCATACAAACTTGTTATACCTTATGAACCAAAGAAGACTCATAATATTATGAGTCTAAAGTTGTAGAAGTTCAAGGTAAATTGGGTAAAAAGATTTTAGAGTCTAAGCCAGTGTTATCCTAAAGAGGAAGAGAACATTGACATTGACCCAGAAATGTTCTAAAAATAAAATTTTATTTTTATATGTCAAATTTCTTTTCTCTGGAACTGGTTCAGGTTCTTTCTTCTCTTCTACTTTCTTTTCTTTCTTTTCTCTCTTCTTCTTTTCTGGTGGAGTTATGTCAAATTTGGCGCAACTATATTTATGTAAAAGTTCTTTGTCCTTTAATAGCTCATCTATTCTGTTTTCTATTTCATCTTCAAGAACAGCGCATGTGTCTTCTTTGCATTCTAAGAATTTTGTTGGACTTCATCTTTCCAATCGGCGTCATCTCTGTCAACAAGTCTGTCATTGACAAATTTTAAGACTGCTCTTTGTAATGTTTTATGGTTCTTGTCATATTCCCAGAAACAGAACTTTAGAACAAATTCCCTTTCTTGTTTACACTATGTAAGATTTTATGGTCGACAGATGTTTTGCTGTCGAAAAGCTTGTCTCGAATATAGATAGCGAAATCGCTAGATATTTTCTAAAAGATAAAAATTTTAATTTTTCTAAAAATATGTTAGAGAAAAAAGTTTGCTGACATTGACAAAAAATTTGAGAATGTTTTAAACAAGAACAAGAGGAAGTTAGAAAATGCTCAGATAAAGCCTATACATGACAAGTTCTTATTTGCTCAGAATGGTATAACAGGTCTAATTGCACCACCTGGGTCGGGTAAGACTTTCACTTATCTTAAAATGGCTGCACAACAACAAGAACTAGAT